ATACTTCATGATGGCCATTTGGAAATGAATCTTACTTAATACAGATATTCTAAGTATTTTAACTATGGTGTTGGTGAAAAATACTGAAAGTACCATGGACTGCTAAAAGAAAAGGCAAATCTGTCTTTGAAGATGTACAGCCATAATGCTCTTTAGAGGTAAGAACAGTGAGATGCCTCCTCATGTACTTTGGACATGTTATCTGGAGAGACCAGTTCCTGGGAGGGACGTTGTGCTTGGTAAACTGGAGGAGCAGCAAAAAGGAGGAAGGCCGTCGATGACACAAGTGGCTGAAATAATGGGCTCAAATCTAAGAACAATTGTAAGGGTCACTTTGGGTCAGAACCAATTGATGGCACTAAACAACCACACCCAAATACCCAGGTGTGAGCAGACTCATTCATTCTGTTTCGTGAAGCTATGTTTGTTTATCAATCCCTTGCTGAAAAGACCTCTCTAGCAATAAATCTCAACCATTAGATGAGATCTGAACTCAGCAGGAAGCTGACCGTCACCATTATTTCTATGTACTAGATGAAAAGATGCAGCAGGAACAATAGAAAGTGGGAAAAGAACAGAAAGGGGAACAATAAAAAACAAAAAGTGTAAAACATAGGCCAAAAAGTCATACCGATGAAACCTAAGTGCCTGTCAGGGAAGTGCAAGTATTTGAAAATCAGTGAAGCACCACCTGAGCCGTTCTTTCTACTAAAATAATATCTCTCCATTTTTCAAAAATGCTTCAGAATAAATGAATTATTTTTACCTTATTAATTTGCTAGATATTGAATTAGTTATTTCCCTAATTAGTTCTTTCCAAACCAAATTTTTGGTAAAATTCCCCGTTTCAAAAATCATCATTATTATTAGGTGTAGTTGAACTTCTAATTTTTCTCTTCCAGGATCTAGTGTGATAGATATGTATCCTTTGACTCGAATGGTACAAGATACAAAACAGATTCCTCATACCCATGAACGAGAAATCAATGTGATGCTTTACAACAAAACTTTTCACCAAGTACTCACTATCTGCTCAGAATCTGTAATTAAGGTAAGTACTTCTTGGCTATTCAGAAAGAAAAGTCAAAGAAAATAGAATGTTTCATTCTTACATGAATTAAGTCGATCCAATAGCACATTGGATGTGATTTGCATATTAGAATTTTACTTATAACCCATATTTTTAAAATATGTGCCAATTCTGACTCATGGCAAGCCCATGTACATCACAGTACAACAGTGCTCCAAAAGATTTTCAATGGCTGATTTTTTTAGATCAATCTCCAGGCCTCTCTTTTCAGGTGCCTTTCGGTGGATGTGAACTGCCAACCTTTCAGTTAACAACCAAGTGCTGGAACAGTTTATACCCCCCAGGGTCTCCATAACTCTGGTTAGGTACTGAATGGGTGCCAAGTACTTTCAATGGAACAGTTTATACCCCCCAGGGTCTCCATAACTCTGGTTAGGTACTGAATGAGTGCCAAGTACTTTCAATCCATTAATTCATTCAATCTTCACATCTCTCGGTAGACAGTATAAAGTGTCTCATTTTATAAATGAGGAAACTAAAATTCAGAGAGATCAAGCCACGGGGGCTGTGATACAATCCAGGTCCATTTAGCAGGGATCCTCAAACTTTTTAATCAGGGCCAGTTCACTTTCTTCAGATCCATTGGAGGGCCAGACTATAGTTTAAAAAAAAACTGTGAACAAATTCCTATGCACACTACACATATCTTATTTTGAAGTAAAAAGCAAAAGGGGGCAAAAACACCCGGAGGAATGGATAAGTGTCCTCGGCGGGCCGTATGTGGCCCACGGGCCGTAGTTTGAGGACCCCTGGTTGTCTTTACCCTTCCAATTGCATTTTTCTAACCTTGTCATCACTGTCTTTCCTGGATGCTTTGCTAACTGCACCTGTAATCATGACTACTGATGGCATCTGGTAACGATAGCTTGAGGCGTTTGCTTCAAGTACTTATCCTTTTAGTGCATTCAGTTCTCGAAGGAAGACATGTAGGGTGGTACAGAGCAATCCTCTTGAGCCCTTTCAAATGCTCTCACTCTTTTACCTTCAGTGCTTACCGGCTACTGATTTTCTCAGGCCCAAATCTCCTGAATTGGGATAATTAGCACCTCTTTTTGGTAGTGTCTACAAAGAGAAGTTTTTAAAAACTGTACTATCCCAGACAATATTGCCCTCTTAAGGGGAATATGTCTTCCTAAAAAAACTTTTTGAAAGAATATACAAAAAAAATATTTTTTAAAAGAATGTAAATTTCCATTTCTGATTGGTGGAAAGGGGTTGTACTTCAGTCAGAAGATGAATGACCCCTGGGCCCATTCATGCAGTGCCTCAAATTCCGCTCTCTCCTTTAAAGATCCTATTTGTGTGTAGGGTGCACAATGGTGCAGAGTATGGGATTTAGAGCCAGCCTGACTTTGTTCAAGCTCTACTACATCCCAGCCATGTGGCCCTTCATGATGTGGTCCATCAGCTATATTCCATTCACCTCTCCATCTTTCACTCCAGCTACACTAGTTTTCTTTCAATTCCCTGAATGAACAAGACACTTTCTGACCTCTTGGCCTTTGCATATGCTTCCCCACCTCTCCCAGACACCTCCAGTCCAACTATTCTCCTTCTGTGTTGCCAGTTCATCAGCTTTCTTATTTACCACAGTCTAAGAACACGGTGGCTCTACGAAGAAAAAGATTCCAATGGAAAGATTACAAGAATAAAGCCTCTCCTCCCCCGCCCCCCCCCCAAGAACCATGATGAGTCTTAACGTATTTCTGGATTTTCTAATTACACAGATGATCTCCTTCAAAATCATGTTCTCGGTCTATAAACTGTGGGGTGCATGTCCCTAATTAGAACACTCCTTGAATAGGTCACAAACTCAAAGAAAACTGTTGCTGTTGAGCAGACCAATGCACGGTGATTCCGTAAGGCAGCGGTTCTCAACCTGTGGGGCGCGACCCCTTTGTGAGTAGAACAACCCTTTCACAGGATTCCTAACAGTGGCAACATTACAGTTATGAAGTAGCAATGAAAATAATTTGATGCTTGGGGGGGTCACCAAAACATGAGGAACTGTATTAATGGGTCACGGCATTAGGAAAGTTGAGAATCACTGGCCTCGGGCAAGGTAGAACTGCTCCCATCCGTTTTTCCAAGGTTGGAATCTTTACAGAAGCAGACTGCCACATCATTTTCAGAAAAGCAGCTAATAGGCTTAGGTTAGCGGCTATGCTTACCCACTGCACCACCAGGCTCATTGGAGGTCAGGGAGGTCTATTTTCCCTAGGAGATTCTCTCAAATTCCACACTGTTAACCACAGATTTCTATCATATTGCTAACCGTGCTTCATTCCATTAGCAACCGAATACATTTTTTCTTAGCCAGAGGCTGGCAGGGTTAGAGTCGCTGCTGATCTCAAACATGCACGTATCCAGGATAGCAAAACTATTAGACATGATCTCTCTTGGAACTTTTTTTGATCAAACCAACATTCAGGGGCAGACTATGGGGAAAGATATATGAGATGTGCTTAATACCAATGTTAAGGCAGTTTGGAATGTTGCCATTTTGCTATGAATTGAAGGATAAATGTGTTGCTTGATTTTCTGTTGCTTGGGCTCTTTCTTACAGGTGTGGGAACTAGAGACTGGTCTGCAAATATACCATATTTTAGACCCTCATGGCTTCAGTGTTGAACTGACTGCAGCAGCTGTCAATGAAAGTGGACTTATCTTTGCTACTGGAGCATACAATGGTCAGAATAACACCCAGAGTATTATTTATTTACACAAGTGCCCAGAGAATTTGTGCTAGGAATTATTTAGTGCTTTGGGTCAGAAAGAGCATGAATCTGTCTGGAATATACCAGTGAGAGTAGGGTGCCTAACTTCAGTAATCCTCATTCTTGTCAAATGAACACTCAGGTCCCTTGATTGATTTAAGAAATAAGTCAATGTCTTACACTAAATTTTTATAACTAATTTATAACTAAAGTCTTTCATACATACAAGTACTACCTTATGTAATCTTTGATAGAATTTATCTGTATTGCACTACCATCAGCTAAGGTTATTTAATAAGGGTATCTAAACTAGTAGACATTAGATTCCATGGTATTTTGACAGTGGTATTTTAACTGGCAGTGAACAGTTTGAGGCTACACAAAATATGTAGCAAACTTTGTTGTATATAACACATGAAACTATTTATTTGGCTAAGCTCCTTGAGGGATGAAATAACATGCTTGCTTGTTCACAGGACAATTGATGGAGCAATTGAACATTCTAATGTGAAAGTCTGATTTTTACAAGTGTGAGCAGAAAACACAACATAAAATAACATTATAAATGCTAAGTTGATGAGTGGAAATGCTTTTCATGTAGAACAATTCTTAAGAAAACCATCTTTATAAATATATAAAATTGGTTATAGAATGAGTAATATACACAATCATTACCAAATATAATCATTAAGCAATTTATACATATTACTGTAGCAGTATTTTCATGTAAGTAGAGATATGTAACCTTGCTAGTTCTTGAATCTAAAATTATTATAAATGTTGAGTTTGTTTTCCTGTTACATATGTTAAGTGAATAAAATCCTGAGTGTAGAACACCGCAGAAAAGAGCAATTTTGCCCACAAGCAACTGATCCTTTCTTATTCTCACCCTGCCCATAAATCTGACTACCAAAATTCCTAAGCAATCAAAAACACATTTCCACTGAGTCAATGATGACTCATAGATACACTACAGGACAGAGTAAACCTATTTGTCAGGGCTTCCAAGAGTATATCTTTACAGGGGCTAAAAGCCTCATGTTTCTCCCACAAAATGGAGTTTTGACCCATTGTGCCACCAAACTGGTCCATAAGACTGTGGTCCAGATAACCAAAGAATGATTGAGATGCTGATCACTTATTTTCATTGCTTGCATGACTGCCTTCACACAAGATCATAAATTCCTTGAGAGCATGAACTATGCTGTTCGTCATTTCTAAAGCTAAGGCATGACTATGAAAGTCCTGTGTTAAATGCCAATTCTCTACACTGAGTAATAACCTAGAAACACATTCAACAATTACATTGATTACCATCCCTTATGACTCCTTCGTCATTGCTATCAAGTTGATTCCTATAAGACAGAGTAGAACTGTCTTTGGGGGGTTTCCAAGAAACTAACTCTTTATAGGAGTAGAAAGCCCCATCTCTCCAGTGAAGTGGTTGATGGTTTCCAACTGCTGACCTTGCAGTTAGCAGCCTGACTTGTAACCCACTATGTCACCAGGGCTCCAGTGACCCCTTCATCACATTCCCCTAAATTTATTGACGTAAAGGGTTCTATAGAAGTAGAACGCCTCATCTTTCTCACATGAAGTGACTGGTGGTTTTGAACTCCTGACCTTATGGTTAGCAGCCCAAAGCCTAACCCACAGTCCCCTAAATCAATTGAACTAAGTCTCTGGGTTTTCCAAATCGTTAAAGTATTTGACTACTAATAAGAAAGTTAAAGGTTTCAGTCTACTGAGAGGTACCTCAAAATAAATTTCCAGAAATTTGCTTCTTAAATATCATCAATTAGGAAATGCCTAGCACTCCGTTCTGCTCTGGCACACATAGGGTCACCACGAGTGAAAACTGACTAACCAATATGGTTAGTTTATTTTTTAATTAATAACTTATATTTGCAAAAATAAGAAGTAACTCAAAACTTATTTTAAAAAGGCCTCTCCTATGTAACCAATGAAATATTTTCAAGCTCAATAGTCCCTTACCTGCTAGAATTCCTTCAAGCTTTTTATTACCTGATAAGAATTATAAAGTCTTTAAAAATGTCCATAACCTGGAAAATGTGACAACTTATTATTATGTCTGATATGTCCATATTGGTAGTCTTGAGGAAACTGTAAACTATCAGGGAAAATAAAAGCAGTGTAGATCTACTTCTGAGGTACAACTCAATAGGAGAATCTGAGGATTTCAAAGAAAATAGTCACACATTTGAAAATATTGCCTGATTCTGTTTATCTGCCAGTGACAAAAAAAAGGCATATAGAAATATATTTTGTGCTTAGTAAGGCTAGGAAGACTCACCTTCTATCTATGTAGAAATGGAATTTAAGATACTTATTGGCAGGACGCTTTCAATTGGATCGATTCCAAGTTTTGTACAAAGCATTTTTATCCACACAGTTTTTTCTCTCTGCGCTCAGGAACAGTGAAAGTCTGGGACTTTGGTAGTGGGCAAGAGCTGAGAGCTCTGCCGGAAGGAAAAGACTGGAAGGAAGAAGAACACTGGCTCCATGACCTGATTTTCCTGAAATCTCAAGAAAAACACCAGTATTTGATCCTTGCCTTGGAGCGCAATGGGAAGATCAAAATTATCCAGGTTTACAATATATAAGTTTACAATATATATATAAGTAAGCCCCACTTGCTTGTCAGCTGAAAAAAAGTATATACCCATCAATTTTCCTGTGATGCTCCTAATTAACCTTGTCAACTTCCAGCAAAACCTAAAAATGAATATTGGCCCAACCATGGCCTCCTACCCATTAACCTTTACTGAAACCTCTAACCTAGGCATCCGAATAGCTTGATTAACAAACAGCTGCCACTTCTGACACTGTTTATGCCCTGTTTTCAGAATAATTCAAGGGCAGGACTGGTCCCCAGTAGGCCTTGTGAATGAGAGCAATGATTCCTTTCTTTTTTCAATATAGTTGATACCTTTTTTTTTTTCTTTCCCTGTCACTTATAAGCCACTATGCCTTCAGGAATGTCACATTTTTAGTTAGCACTACTTTGAAGTTAAACATGCAATCTACTCAGGACTGGTTGGTGAGGATTGAGGTTGGCTAATTATTTTTCTTGTGACTTTACTAGCTCCCAGGAACGCTAATGCATTATTCATATTTATAACAATAGACCACTTATCCTGCCCACAGACAAGATTGTCTCCTCATTGCCTAGAGCTCAAGGACTCATTGCTTTTAATATTTCCTTTCTAAAAGCTAAGGAAACTTCTTGAATTCAGTAGGAACCTGTGATTTGTTTATTACAAGAAAATCCCCCTTTATTTAGATCACAGCCTGGAGAATAATTACATAATACTGAAAACCATAACTTAGCCAAATTGACACATAACATTAGCCATTATAAAAGCCAAGATTTCAGGGCTTTAACAGTTCAAACATAACAATGTACAGGCTATAGTAAGGGATAGACCATCAGAACAATGCTCATGGTCCAAATAATTAATTAGAAGGTGACACTTGTTACACATTTTATAAACTTGACCTCAGAGCATAAACACCAGTCACCTCAAGATACAAAAAGAAACAGATAGATGTCATGTGCCAAAACAAAAGTCTTTTAAATGACATATTCACACGAGAGGTTCTTTTGGAAAGAATGTAATACCAAGAAGAGCTGTCACGGATTCTACATAGACTAGTCTAGAATATAGAAAAGGAGAGAAAACTCTCCAAATCATTTTATGAAGCAAGACTAATCTATAATTTGTGAAGCAAAAAAATCAGGCAAAGACACCACAAGGATTAGAGATCAATATTCCTCAGGAACACAGACACAAAAATTCTCAACAAAATCCTGGCCAATAGAATCTAACAATTGATTAAAAAATAATACTCCATGATCATGTGGAATTCACAACAGGTAGACAGGGTTAGTTCAATTTATAAAAGCAATCTGTGTAATCCGTCCCAGAAATAAAACAAAATTTAAGGACCATATGATCAAATCAGTAAATGCAGAAAAGCCATTCAGCAGTATCCAACACCCATTCCTAATAAAAACACCCAATTGGAATAGAAAGGAATTTCCTTGACACAATAGAGGCCACATACCAAACACCAAGAGTCAGCACTTCATGCAATGGGGTAAAACTGAAAACATTTCTCCTGTGGACAGGAACCAGATAAGGATGCCCCTAATTATCACTCTTTGTCAATATCATGCCAGAAGTCTTGACCAGAATCATGAGACAACAGAAAGAAATCAAGGGAATACAATTGGGCAAAGAAGAAGTGAAACTATTTTCAGATGATAAGATTTTATCCTAACTCCAAAATTTGGTAAAAGGATTGTTGGAAATGATTAAAAGTTTCAGTAATGTGAAAGGACCCAAGATCCATAAGCAGAAATCAAATTCCTGTATACCAGCAAAGAGAACATTAACGAGCACAATACCACTTACAGTAGCCACACAAAAGATGAAATATTTAAGGATAAGCCTAATCAAAGAGATAAAAGACCTATAGAAGGAAAACTACAGATTACTATTACAAGAACCCAGGAGATCAACACAAATGGAAGACTATCCAATGTTCTTGGACAGAATGTCTTAATGCCGTGAAAATGTCAATAAGATGAAACACTATACAAGTCTAATGCAATTCTGATGCAAATTCCAACTTCATTCTTTAAAGAAATGGAAAACTAATGACCAAGAAGTTCATATCGAGAGGGAAAATATCCAGGGTAGGCAAAGAACAAAGTAGGAAGCCTCACACTAGTCAACCTCAAAACCTACTGCACGGCCACTGTAGTCAAAACAGTTTGGCACTGGAACAAGGATAGATACACAGACCAATAGAACAGAATATAAAGCCCAGAAATAAGTCCATCCATCTATACGTAACTGATTGTCAACAAAGGGCCAAAAAATATTAAGTGGGAGAAAAATAGTCTCTTCAACAAATGGTGCTGGAAAAGTTGGATCTCTATCTGCCAAAGAATGAAAATTCCATGATTGTTAAATCTATAGAGACAGTAACTAGAATAATAGTTTTGGGGGTTATGACAAGGCAGGGTGGGGGAGACAGACTAATACCATGAGTACAATTGTTCTAAAGAATGTTCTAAATGAAGAAAATGTTCTAAAATTGATTGTGGCGGTGATTGCACAACTCTTTTGAATAGATTTAAACCACTGAATTGTATGATTACATTGACTATATATCAATAAAATTTTATTAAAATGAAAAAATTAAGGGATATCTAAAATATTCTTAAGATAATGGAATTTTTCTCTTAAATTTGTGTGTCCACTCATGTACCTTTTCTCAAGATCTTATTCAACTATTTCAAGTGGTAGCACATGATCAAAAATCAATAGTAGTACAGTGAACCCTCGTTTATCGCGGTTAATCGGTTCTAGACCCTACCGTGATAAATGAAATTCCGCGAAGTAGGATTCCTTATTTGTAAATCAAATATTTTCGTAGTTAGAGCATAGAGGACATGAAAAAACACCCGTTAGTCACCATTACACTCGTATTACCCAATTTATTAAACGAAAAAGGGAAAATACAGTAAAACATTTTGGACGTTACAATGATCATTTATTATTTATTATATTATTTATGGCATCTAGTTTACAGTATTACATATTTCACATACGGTATTATTATACATAGTTCTTACAAATACTGTAATCAATAGCCTATGAAATGACTTAAGGGATGTACTCTACAGGTGGGTCGCCGTCTTTTTCCTCTGAAGGAGCGGGTGTAGGCAGTGGGTGCTGTTACGCAAAAACCGCGATAGAGTGAAGCCGCGGAAGTCGAAGCGCGAAGTGGTGAGGGTTCACTGTATAGGAAGAAATACAAGCTGCACTGAAGGCATTAGCCAAAAACAATGCTCCAGGAATTGATTGAATGCCTATTGAAATGTTTCAACAAACTTATGAAGCACTGGAATCGCTTACTTGTCTAGGCCAGGAAATTTGAAACACTGCTACTTGACCAACTGACTGAAAGAGATATCTATTTGTACCCATTCCAAAGAAAAATGACCTAAGAGAATGCAGAAATTATAGAACATATCGTTAATATCATTTGCAAGTAAAATTTTGCTGATGATAACCCAAAAACGGTTGCAGCAGCACATTGACAGGGAGCTGCCAGAAATTCAGGCTGGATTCAGAAGAGGACATGTAACAAGGGATCTCATTGCTGATGTCAGATTGATTTTGCAGAAAGCAAAGAATACCACAAAGATTTTTACTTGTTTTTTTACTATGGCAAGATAATAGGCTGTATGGATTATTATAACAAACTATGAATAACCTTGAGAAAGATGAGAATTCGAAAACATTTTTTTGTGCTCATGTGAAACCTGTGCAGGAATCACGAGGCAGTTGTGCAAACAGAACAAGGGGAGACTGCATGGTTTAAAATCAAGAGAGGTGTGAGTTGGGGTTGTATCCTTTCACCACATTCATTCAATCTGTATGCTGAGCAAATAATCAGAGAATCTGGATTATATGAAAATGAATACAACAACAGGATCAGAGGAAGGTTTATTAAGAACTTGTGGTATACGGGTGACAACTTTGCTTGCTGAAAGTGAGGAGGGCTTGAAACACTTGACTGGGATCAAGGATTTCAGCCTTTGGGATGAATTTACAACTCAGTGAAAAGAAAACAAAAATCCTGACAACTGGGCCAATAGGTAACATCCTGATAAATGGAGAAAACAGTGAAGCTGTCAAGGATTCTGTCTTGCTTAGAACCACAATCAATGCTCATGGAAGCACCAATCAAGAGGTCCAACGACACAGTGCATTGGTTAAATCTGCTGCACAAGACCTCTTTAAAGTGTGAAAAAGCAAATAGATTACTTTGAGGACTAAAGTATGCCTGACCAAAACCAGGGTATATTTACTTGCTTTATATTTCATGTGAAAGTGTAACATTGAATAAGGAGAATAAAGAAGAATCGGTGCATTTGAATTACGCCACTGGGAAAGAATATCGAAAGTACCATAGACCAGAAAAGAACAAACTTGGCTGTCTTGGAAGATGCATGCCAGAATGCTCCTTAGAAGCAAGGATATAGATAAAGACTTTGTCTTACATACTTTGGACATATTATCAGGAGAGAGCAGCCCTCGAAAAAGACACCATGCACGGTAAACTAGAGGGACAGCAGAAAAGAGGAAAACTCTTTATAAGATGGATTGACACTGGCTACAACAATGGGCTCAAATATAATAAATGTGAGGATGCAGGACTGCACAATATTTCCTTCTGTTTTACATAGGTTCTCTGAGTCAGAACTGACTCCATGGCTCCTAACAACACCAACATTTCTCCAAATTAGATAGCATGCACACATAAAGGGTTTAGGATTTTACCATACTGTGGGAAACATAATCCAACCCATAACAATATATAAATATTTCATGAAAAAAAATCTTGAAGAACAAAAAAATCAACCAGGATACTACGTGGACACCTGCACCTTCCCCCAGAAGAATTTATTTCAGAGGACAGCACTGAAGCTGCAGCTCAGGGAGAGGGACATGCCTGACCAGAGCACACAGAAGCAAATGAAGGGGGAGGAAGAGAGAGTGGGACACAT